TTCCAGGGAGTATGGAAATAAAGTTTGTTCCTGCTTGAGTGGCTCGTGATTTGTGCTCAGCCAGACTGCGGTAATTTTATTAGAATTGGTGTTCTCCAAATTAAAGTCATACAGTAGTTTTGAACAATAATGTTGCAAACTTTAATTCTTTGTATTATATAAGTTCTCTGACTGGACCTATAATCCATAAAAAATATGGTAAGGTTTACATACTACTCCCTACAGTGGGAAGTAACCTTAATCGTATTTTCTAAAAGATAATTAAGAGACACCTATTTAAAGGATAATATTCTGAGATATAGAGATATTTTGAGACTTTCTCTCATAGATTGAGGGTCTTTTTAAATTGTTAGGATAAATCAACAGTCTATATATTGAGAAATTATAATAATCAATAAAAGGTATCTCATTTTCATATCTAGCATCATCTACTATCATCAAAGAAGGCCTTAAAAATTACCTACTAGAAAAAAAGATTGAAGGGAGCCTCTCAACTTAATAATAAATTATCTCAATAGCCAATAGCTTATTTCAATAAAAATTAACATGATAGACCTTTTCTCAACTTATAATATGAGGTAATGCCCTCCATACATTGCTATTTTTAAAATTAGTAAAGCCATTAATTATTAGAGCTAATTTTACTACATTAAATAAAGTTATTAAGGATGCTCATATAACTGTTTCTTTAAACACAAAGTTTGTTTTGACATAAAATCCCTAAAAATGTTATTGCTAGCTCATGTTATATAAAATTCTAAAGTAGATCACTGTCTTAAACCACACTGTTGACTTGTTTTTACGCATTAATATTTGAAATACTAACTCCTCCTACTTAGATCAACACTAAGTTTGATAACTGACAGTTTTCATGGATTCATAGAGAAAAGACTATTCATTTCTCTATTTCATTTTTTATTAATGTTAAAACCAAAATATCTTCTTTAGGCTAATTTAGCATATGTACTTCCAATTTTGTATAGATGTTTATATATTTTTCTCATGCCTGTACTAAAGACCACCACTCCTAATTTAAAAACTCTCTAACTTCATTTCAAAGTAAGATAATTATTTAAGTTAATCTAGAGTTAATTTAAAAATACAAATTTTTATATTCAACTTATTGTATTCTTCATTTTTTCATAATTCTGTTAAAGTCAAAATCAAGTCATACATTTAGTAAAGGCTAAATTTCTTTTTACCATGGTTCCTTTGAATGACTTTTGTCAAGTCTCACAACCAGCTAGAGATAATAAATCTTTTCTTATCATTTAAATACTTGTATTATTGTCTATAATTTAAACTAATGGCATTATGATTTTTGCCAGCCTTTCATTCAATGATAATATACTTAAAAGGGGGGAAATAGTACCCCACAGGCACATAATAGATCTTACAAAATATTATAAATTTTTTTCTTAATTGTAATATTGAGAGTCTTACTGCTGCTGCTGAAGTTTGAACTAAATCAAATTTCAAAAGATAGAGTTTTAAACTGGTCATCATAGAAAGGTTGAAAACTCTGACACAGGAAGGTAAATCTCTCAACTGTAGAGTTTATAGCCATGCAGCTGCATGAGCTTATCAGGAAAGTAAAAATTATGAGCAAACTTCTAGGGACCCACTTCTCAGGTCCACCTTTAAGGTGCCTTGCAGTGTAGACTAGAAAGTCCACCCATGTAACTAGATTAATTGTACTGACTGTAATGGTCAGTATACCTGTATGTTATCTTATGGAAAACAAGATGTCTGGGAGTATCTTTTGAGAAAAAGACAGCATGTGAGAAACCTAAACCAATCAGTTGTGCCTAATTTTATCACATTGGTCCTTCATCAATGTCCCTTTGTCCTGTTGCCAGCTGGCATGCTCAAGTTAACAGTCAGGCCTTGAGAGAGGTGCAAGCCATTAACCAGACTTAGGCAAGCTCTTGATCTCATGATCCTTGAAGTGACTACTTTAAATATTATTCATTGTTTCTACAATTACAGTCTTTGTGGCTATGTTTAAAACTTACACCATGTGAATTTTCTTAATAATTTGACTTAAGTTACCTCCAAGATCCTTCATAGTCAGATAAATGCTATTGAAAGGATTGAAACTAAGTTAAAATGCTCTAGAAGCCACTGTAATAAATAATGCAAATAAATAATGGTTTGTGGAAAGGCTTAAATTTCATGCCAAATAAAAATGTTTGTGTTACTATGACCAAACACAATGCTTCCCCCCAAAATTTGGAAAAGGTTAAGAATCTCCTAATGAGTGTTTGGCAGAGTAATAATAATAATAACCCAGATCTTCTGAAGTTAATTATATTATTGAAATGGCATGTTTTCTATTAGTTCCTTCTGTGTTTCAATAGTAGATAATGTCCACCTAGGACGAAGAATCCAGTGACTGAAAGATACAATTCCCCATTTGCCTTTGTTTATAATAAGAAAGGGGGAATATGTCGGGAGCTGCCCTGGATAAAACTACCTTTAAGTTCTATGCCCCAGGGCACTGAACAATTATTGCATTCTGCAGTAACTTGGGGTTACTCTAGATGGGATAACAAGGCATGGCTCCAGGTGTAGGTGGCACCAACGGGGGTTGAGTTACACTTACCTGTTCCCTTGTAATCCTACCCCTGTGCCCTTTTTGGGATAAAATATTCCATGGAAACTCCCCTTGTGTGTCCCCTATGTAAGAATAAAGAATCCGGTGGCTCTTTCTCTGTTCATGAACACTTAAGGTTGCAGAGCCATCCCTGGATTACTGAAAAGGTACTTCTGTGTGTTTGCGTGCTGTCTTTGTTGTTTTCATAAGTTATTGCAATAGTCAGATTTTGTGAACCCAATATTAGGTTGCCAGCTAGGATAGATGGCTGTATATTAGCACTGGAATATGGCCTGTGCCATCTTCTCCTTCTTCCTTCTTCTGCTACTACAATTAAATGGAAGTTCGCCATGGTTTTCCTTGAGAGTCAATATTGTTTTACCCAAAGATGATGCCAATGTTAAGAAATGATGCAGAACATCTTGCCCTTCAGAAAATATTTGTTGAATAATAAATTTGAACTTTGAGTAAATGTTTAGTCCTTATAGGTATGACTAACGACTTAGTGTGACAATTATAAATAATAACAGTGCTATCTATTTCAGTTGGAAGAACTGAAATAATTTAATGTAATTAACAACAATCTTCAGTTGTAAATACACACCAAAAACGTGTATTCTACATCTGCCTTTCTATTTTGCTTGGCAGAAGTATTCTTTTACCAAGGGCTGATGGTGTAGCTCAGTGGTACAATCTTTGTCTAATGTGCTCAAGATCCTGGGCCCAGGACCTTAAAGACCTGTTAATGGGACACACTTCTTGGTAATATAATGAGAACTGAGGCAAGATTCAGTTTATACACCAAGGTGGGAAGCAGGTTCCAGTCCCAACTCTCTAAATCAATGCTTCTCTAGTACACTCCCATTTCCTGCCACTTTGTGGTCTACTTGTATGTTGATGCTGAGAATATGGGAAAAGGTTTAAATAGGCAGGTGACTTTTAAAATTAATAGAATTTGTGTTCTAATTCTGATTTGTACCTAACTGGGGGACTCTGTATATAACTATACGTTTATAGTTTAATTACCAAAGAAGAAATTGTAAGACTAGAAAAACGCCGCACCACACAACACAGATTACCAAAGAGGTTTCCCACTTTATTACAAAAGGCTGTGTGTTTATATAGGTCTAAGGAGAGGTTGCAGGGCTGAGGTAGATAACAGGTCGCCCGTTTATTGGCAAGCTCTTCCATATGTCAGTTCCGGAGCCCAAGAAGTTAATTCTAATTGGGGCTAAGGCTTCCCACCAGCAGGGTTTGAACATTGGCACCTGCGGGAACGTTTCGCACCAGTGAAAGAAACAAAGAAGAAAAGGAGGGTTGTTAGATGCCATGCTGGGGTTTTTCTCTGGGATGTGGCTGCCGTTATGTTTTCCCAACAGAAATTACTTCCACATAGTTAATGAAAGCCTGTTGAGTCTTGTAGGTGAGTCTACTGGAAGCTTATTTACTTTTTTTTTTTTTTGTATGTTGAGAAAAGATCATGCTAAGTTGTTGAGGATCTCACTATGTTGTTCAGGCTGCATTTGAACTTGCTATTTTCCAGCTTCATTCTCTGCAGTCACATGGGCTACCATGCCTGGCTGTTTCTCCATTTTAAAGATGAGATAAACTAAAGCCTGAAGACGTTGAGCACTGGCATTGGCTACCAGATGAATGCTGGTAGAGAGCAGACCCAGAAGACAAGCCCAGATATCTTGGGGCATTGTTATTGCTAGGAAAAGTCTCCAAAGGAAAAAACTGAAGGACTCAGTGAACTTTCCTCCTCTGTTTAAACAAGCATTTTCCTTTGTTTTGTTTATTTTTGCTGTTCAGGTCTTTCTGTTCCTTTCAGAACCTTCTCTGTACTTTTAGAACTGTAGGTGGAGGGACTAGCCAGGAACAATTCAGGCATTCACACTTGAGGCTGTGAAGTAATTGGTCACTTTCAAATGATTATTGGAGGTTCAAGGAGCTCTCAGGAAGGAAGTGGATTTGTGTTCTAATTCTGATTTGTCACTAAGTGGCTGAGGGACTTAATATCTCTGAGTCTCTGTTTTGTCCACTGCCAAATAACTAAATAGATAACGTTTATTTTTTTTTTTGTATACTGTGTGCTTAAAACCATGGTGAGAATTTTTGATAATTTTAATCATCAGCAACCCCTTGTTTGGACCACATCAGTTACATTGCTTCTAACCTGTTTTGCTTTTTTTCCCCTTCTATTCTTTGTGGTCTTCTTCCACCTTCTTCTGTTCTTTTCTAATAGGAATCAGAGTAGTCTACAGTCATTCATTTGAAAAATTAATCTGGTAACTTCTCTGAGTGCACTAGGCTGATTGGAGGTTTTTTATTTAAACAGGAATTGAATTCAACATTGGCTCAACAGGTCGCTGAAACCAGTAATTTTGTACCATCTCCTCACAGCATGCAGAGAAGACACCCAGCTGGGACATCCAGGTAAGTTATTCCTTGTGCCACTTGACTTTCTCCCCATTCTTGATGCCCCAGTATCCTGGTTGGGGGATTTAATATCTCTGGGTTTCAGTTTTGTCAACTGTCAAATAAGTAATGATAGATATCAGGCATGGTGGCGCATGCCTGTAATCCTGGCAATTTGGGAGGCTGAAGCAGGAGGGTCTCAAGTTCAAGACCAGTTTGGGAAACTTAGATAACCCTCAGCAACTTAGCAAAACACTGTCTCAAAATAAAAAGGACTGGGGATACACTCTGTGCTATATTGCTCCTGAATTCAACCCCATTTAAAAAAAAATCAAAAAAAGTAATAATTGACATCATTTATTTTTCTTCTAGTGTGTGCCTAAAATCATGGTGAGCATTTTTGATACTTTTAATTATTGTAAAATAACTTGTAAGGAAGACTTTATCATTGTCCTTATTTTAGAGGACATTGAGAATTTGAAGTACTTGTGTACTTTGCCTAGAGTCATGTGGTAGGGGGTGTAGCTAGGATTTGAACCTGAGTTTCTTTGCTTCTATAGCCTTTTATCACTAACTTGTACTAGTGAATTAAATAGTGTTTCTGGTCACTCTCAACTCTTAAGTTTTAGAATTCTCATTATTCAAATAAAAAATGAAGAGGTAATAAATAAGTAGAAGGCAGGTTCAGTTTTTGTTGGTCTTTTATTCTTTCTTTAAGGTGCAGAGGATGTTGGGTGGGTGGGCTGATGGGCAAGAACTCTAGGCTAGAGTAGCTCTGCTGACTGTGCCTGATCAGCAGCAATGGGCAGCCCTCTCTTCTACCCTCTCCTGAGGTCTTGGCTATGGGTTCACCTGCAGAGTAGATGTCCTGTCCAATGTGTTCTGAGGACCACCTGAGATTGACACTGATATAAATAAGTGAAAAGTCTCTCCTGTCCCCACTGCCAACCAAGAAAGACAGTTTTACCTTGAAAATGATCAAAGGCTCTGCAGCTAATTTGGCTCTCCTAATTTTGTATGGCTATGGTGGTAAGAAAGACACTGAGATTGAAGATACCCACATACTGTTTGGATAAAATCATTTCCTGAATTGTGAAAAAGGCGATTTCAAAATTGACAGTTATACTGCTTTCACTAGACAAAGGATATGTTTTTACTAAGTGTTATACATAAATATTTGACTATTTCACCAACACCCCTAGGAGTTTATATATTCAAATTGTCAAACACAGACCATAAAAACCTTTTTGGTCTCTTTTTAGAAAAAATGCCATTCACTTCATATTTGAAAATACATTTCTTATAATTAACAAAGATTTCCACTAAAATGCACCTAACCCAGTTTGAGAATTTAAATGATATGTGTAATGTTAAATATATTTGATTTTTCTTTCTAGGAATGAGAAAGTTTTCAACTGCTTATACCCAAAGCCCAATGCAGTTTTTAAGCTGATTTGTTTTCCCTGGGCAGGAAGTGGCTCTACTTATTTTGCCAAATGGGGCCAAAACATTTGTGATACTCTGGAAGGTATGTTGATTTTTATCGTTAGCTAAGCAATCTAAGGTCAGATGATATGCACATATAGAAATTTGAGTTTGTTGAGTTTCTTGGATCTGTGGATTATAATTCTTATTTAACTTGGAAGACTTCCAGTTATTATACCTTAAAAAATGTCTTCTCTGCCTCTCTCTTTTTTTATTATGCTATCCCACTTGACACTGTCCCACACCTCCCGGAGATTCTGTTCAATTTTGAAACCTCTTCTTCTCTATGTGTTTCCATTTGAATTTACTGCCCTCTCTTCCTAGGATCTTCTTTGTTAGTTGCTTTTCCCCCCAGCATTTTGAAATAATAATACTGAGGCTCGACCTGGTGCCTCATACATGCCAGGCGAGTGCTCTACCACTAAGCCACAACCCCAGCCCTCCTTTTAAATTTTGTTGAAGTCCAACTTAGAAGTTTTTTTTTTTTAATATGAGAAGGTTTTTAGTTTGTACTTTTTAAGTTTTTCTTTCATTCAAGATCCTGTTTTAGTGTTATATCTGAATACTCATTGCCAAACCAAAGACCACCTACATTTTATTCTGTTATCTTCTAGAAGTTTTCTAGTTTTGCATTTTACATTTGGTCTATGATCCATTTTGAGTTAATTTTTGTGAAAAGACTGCACCAGAATCTTTTTTTGTGTGTGTGTTTATAAATGCCTAATTGTTCCAGTGCCATTAAACAATCACATTCTTCCTCCATTGAATTATCTTTGCTCCTTTGGCAAAGTTCAGTTGACTGTATATGTATGGCAATTTCTGAGCTCTCTGTTCTGTTCTGCTGGTCCATTTGTCTATTCATTCACCAATACCACACTGTCTTGATTGCTGTAGCTTCATAGTAGGTCTTAAAATTAGGTAGTTTCAGTTCTTCATCTCTGCTCTTCTTCTTCAATATTGTGTTAGCTTTTCTGATTCTTTTGCCTTTCTATATGTACTTTGATTGGTTTTATGGTGCTAGAGATTGAACACAGGGCCTTGTACATGCTAGGCAAGAACTCTACTACTAAGGACACTTCCAGCTCCCATTTAAACTTTAGAATTAACTATTAGTATCCACAAAATAATTTGTTAGGTTTTAATTGAGATTGCATTGAAACTGTACTTCAAGTTGTAGAAAATTGACATCTTAACAATATTGTGTGTCCTCTTATCCATGAACATAAGGTATTTCATCATTTATTTAAATATACTTTGATTTCTTTCATCAGAGTTTTATCACTTTCCTTATATAGATTTTGTACATATCTCTTATTATATTTATGGCTAAATATCTGTCTCACTTTCTCTTTCTTATGGGAATATAAATGACATCTTAGTTTTTATTTCAAATTCCAATTGTTCTTTTCTGATGTATAGGAAAGCAATTTAATTTGTGATATTATTATTATTATTATTATTATTATTATTATTATTATTATTATTTTGTACTGGGGATTAAACCTGGGGCACATTACCACTGAGCTTTTTAGAAAGGATCTCCTTAAATTGCTGAAGCTGGCCTGGAATTCATGATCCTCCTGCTTCATCCTCCGAGTAATTACAGGCATGCACCACTATGTTAACCTTGTCAGTTTTCAAGGGGGAACACCAGGTCTTTGATTTTAGAATGTTCTTCCTTTTTAATATGTAATGCTAAAAATTCTCCTCTAATTACTGCCTTAGCTGCACCTTACAATTTTCAATGTTTGATTTAATTTTCTTTCAGTTCACAATATTTTCTAATACTTCCCATGGCTTATTCTTTGACACCTGTTAATTAGAATTGTTTTGCTTGATTTTCAAGTACTTAGAATTTCTCCAGATACATTTCTGCTATTTCTACCTAAATGTGTTGTGAATCAGAAAATACATTTTGTATTGTTTCAGTTCTTTTAGAATTAGATATGTGGTATGGCCCAGAATACAGTCTACTTTGGCAAATGTACCATTTCCACTGGAAGAATGTAGCATGATGTTCTCTAGTTCTAATCATTTATTGCCAAATACCATGATTTCGTTCTTCTTTATGATTGAGTAAAACTCCATTGTGTATATGGATTGCTTAATCCATTCATCAATTGACACCCAGTCCTTAAAATAAATATTGTTTTTGAAATACTTTCAATCCTCCCGTCTCAGCCTCCCAAGTCATTGGGACTACAGTTTTGTATCATTGCACCTGGCTTGCCCCTTATTTTGAAGTCCATTTTGTCTGACATGAATTACAGTCATTCTCATTTTCTTTTACAATTGTTTGCATGATTTATCTTTTCCTATTCTTTTATCTTTTCTCTGTGATTTATACTTAAAACGTGTCCCTTATAGATAGCTTGTAGATATATTTTGCTGTGTTCAAGTCAATCTGATTATCTCTGCCTTTTAATTGGAGTGTTTGAGTCTTCATGTCATTATACTTTTTTAATATGGTTAGATTAAATCTACCATCTTTCAATTTGTTTTCAAATTTGTACCATATTTTTTTTTCTTTTATCTTCTCTTTTCTTTGGAATTTGTTTTTCTTTTTTAAAGACTTTCATATACCTCCACCACTGGGTGATTAGCTCTAAATCACTGTTTTATTTCTTAGTTATTTTTTTTTAGCATTTCCAATATGCTTTTTTAATTTATCACAATCAACATCCAAATTTAATTATACTGCTTCATTTTTGATGAAATGTTACAAGAGTCAAAAGAGCATTGTTACTCATTCCCCATCTTGAACTTTGTGCTATTTTCAATAATACAATTTCCTACATATTATTTTTGTGTAGTCAGTTGTCTTTTATAGTGATTTTAAAATCAGAAAAAATCTTTTGTATTTATCTACATGATTTTCTTTGTTCAAGTAGACCCCAATTTTCCATCTGACATTTTTATTCTGCCTAAAGAAGTTTCTTTAATATTTATTTAAGTGCAAGTCTGCTGCATTGAATTCTTTTGGGTTTGTGTGTTTAAAATGTCTGTAGTTTTCACTTTTGAAATATATAGTCACAAGTTATAGAATTCCATCTTGTCAAATGTCCTCTCCCATATTGTCCTCTGGCTTGAAGTTTCTGACATGAAATCTACAATTGTTCTTACATTTGCATCTCTAGGCTTCTCTTCTTTGGATGCTTAAGATTTTTTAATTATGTTTTTCACAATTTGATTATGACTTGCCTTGATGTGGTTTTTGCTATTTATTCTGTTTGGGTTTTTTGGATATGTGACTTTATAATTTTTATCAAATTTGGAAATATTAAGCTATTATTTCTTCAAATGTTTATTTCCTTTCTCTCTGCTCTCCTACTGGGACTTCAACTATATTTATGCTGAATTAATTCATATTGTACCCACAGGATACTCATCTATTTTTCCCCTTTGGTCCTATGCCCTCTATGCTTAATTTTGGATAGTTTCATTTTCTAAATGTTCCAAGTTCACTATTACTTTTTCTTCATGTCTAATCTGCTGTTAATCACATCTGGTGTGTGTGTGTGTGTGTGTGTGTGTGTGTGCGCGTGCACGTGTGTGTTTAATTTTGGAGATTTTATTTCACATCTCTAGAAGTTCCACTTAGGTCTTCAAAAAAATCTTCCTCTTCTCATCACACTTTTTTATATATATATATATATATATGTATATATATTACTGTGCATATTCATAATAGCTGTTTTAAGGTTCTAACCCCATCAATTGTTATTTCTTGTCTATTTCTCATGTTTGCATCCCCTCCCCCACTCCTGGAAACATATTATGAGTCATGTGTTCCCACTTTTTCAGTATGTCTGGTGAATTCTGATTAGATCCTAGACTTTGTGATTTTTTATATTATTGATCGCTGGATTTTGTTGAACTCCTTTTTAAGTGTGTAAGACTTTCTCCAGCACACTGCTATTTGGGATCAGCTTGATTCTTGATTCTGGAAAGTCTTAAGCTGTGTGTGTATTCATGAGGAGATATTTGTCAGTGCATTTTAAGGGAAGTACTGGATGCTTCTAACACAGGTGCTACTTTGATACTACTAACAGGTTCACTTAAGAGTTATTTTTTCAACTTCATTTTTTTCATACTGTTAAGGTAATATAAACTAACTTTAAATTTGCATAAATGCAAGGCTTTGGTTAAAAATGTCTAAGGGCAGACTCCTGTAAAGAAAATAAAAAGGGAGACACAGAGACAAGGTGCAGAGGCAGGAAAGTGGCTCTTGTCCAAGTGACCATGTTTATTTATACCAAAAGGTTACATTAGGTCATTAGTACCATAACTACATTATTGTTTAAAGTATCTGTAAGGTTGCTTATTCTGCAATTACATTTCATAGTTACAATATGCAATGTCAGGAGCTTTATGCAACTCTTAAGAAAGTCCATTGTTAAAGTTAGTGGGCAGATTCAGTAGGACCGGAGCTTGGTGAAACATTGTAGTTATCTAGCAAGGAAGTTCCTTTATTCCCAGGAGTTATGCCTAAGATCAAGGTCGAAACTGATAAAACTCTTAACATAGAGCTTCCTTGTGAAGAATATTGCTACAGGGGCCAGGCATCCTGTGTCTTTTATATGGAAGTTTCCCAGCAACCAGACATTCTGTGCTTTTGCACAGAAACTTCCTAGCCACTAAGCATGTCACAATCACAAACCCACATCCAGAGTCAAAACCAGAAACTTCTGCTTTCTTCTTTGCCATTAGGAGAATATCTTTTTTTCCCCCCTCACAATTTCTTCATGGAGGGTTTAGAGTTTAGAGTTTAATGGTTTTATTTAGAGGACTCAGCTCTGACTCTCAAATTTAAAGCATTCCAATGTCTTGTCTCCCAACTCTTTTGGTCAGCTTTTTTTTTTTTTTTTCTTATTATGCTCATTTATTCATTTGTAAACTCCAAGTATCTATTTTTGTGACAGGTCTTGGGAATACAATGTTGAATGAAATAGAAATTACCTCTGGCCTTATAGAAATGTACATTCAATTGGGTGATACAGTTATTAAGGAGGTAATTTTTAAAAAAATATAAAAATTGACAAATTATACATATTTATAGTGTACAATCATTTTGATATATGTATACATTATGGAATGGCTAAATTCTTTTGGTCAGCTTTGAAAGCTGGTGTTTTATTTTTCTGATAGAAGCAATTGCTGTCAGAATTACCATTTCGTTGGTACATACATACTCACTCCATACTCACTTCTGAAAATTTTAGTTCCCTCTTATTTTATTCTTCTTTTAGGTTTTCCCTTTACTGTGATCTAGACTATGCATGTAATTGCTTGCATATTTCATCTATATATTTATTTATCATTTCTAGGTATTTTATGTTGTTTTTCCTATCAGCAAATTCTAAACTTTTACTCACTGGACTTAGTCATAATTTGCTTCTTTGGAAGTGCTCACATTGTTTAAATATAAGACCCTTTAAACATCACAGTACCCCATTCATCATCTGAATGTACTTACTTGTGTTTCCCAATATCCAGTCTCCTGTTTAAGACTTGCTGGAAGAGAAAGTCGACTGGAAGAACCTTTTGCAAAAGACATCAACAATGTAGTTGAGGAAATTATTCATGCTCTGCTGCCAATCATCCGGGATAAACCATTTGCATTTTTTGGCCACAGGTATTTAAATATTCTAAAAGACAGCTGGGGGAATTTCTTCACAAATTCATGGTTAATGCAGAACACTTCAATGAATATTGAAGTTATGAAAAATTTAGCATAAATCTGTTATTGTTTTCTCAGGATAAATTCCCAGTATTTAATTTGAATAAGATGCTCTTTGTTAACACTCTTGATATGTGTTTCTAAATTATCTGCACTTCACATTCCACTTATGGACATGAGGCTGGGTTGCCCTTTCTTTCAGAAGACCTATAAATAATGCAATTTGCAGATGAATCATCCCTTGGTTTTTTTCTACAAAATATATCTACATATCTATAATTGTTCACAAAATTTTGGGTCCCAGTATCCTTTTATACTTTCAGGACGCATTGAGAACTTCAAATATCTTGGGTTTATACATAATGTATCAGTCAATATTTACCATATTAGAAAGTACAACTAAGAAATTTTAAATATTTTTAATTACTAATTTATCTAAAAATAATATTAACAAACAGTATGGTGGTACATGCCTATAATCCTAGTGACTCAGAAGGCTGAGTTCAAGGCTAGCCTCAGCAACTTAGCAAGGCCCTAAGCAATTTAGTGAGACCCTGTGTCAAAATAAAGAATAGAAAAGGCTGGAGATATAGCTCAGTGGTTTAAGAGCTCCTGGGTTCAATACAGCCCCCCTAAAAAGAAACCTCAAATCAAAAACATAACACTAATAGCCTACATATGTTGTTGAATAAATAACGTATTTTTATGAAAAAGACTATATTTTACCCCCAAAAAATTGTAATGAGAAAAACAGCATTGCTTTACACTTTTGCAAATCTCTTTACCTGCTGGCATGACAGAAGGCAGCTGGAGTCTAATCTCTACATTCTTGCAATATCCCATATCATATAACCTCTGGAAAAATCCACTATATACTCATGTGAGTAAAAAAGGCAAATAACATTTTAGTGTTATCCTGAAAATAGTTTGATTTGCTTGGCTACCTATTGGAGTCTCAGAAATTCCCAGAACTCCTCAAACCCCAATTCTTTAAGAATTGCTGATATAAACCTAGTGATACACATTTTTAAGGCAGAAAAAGGAAATTTACATGAATTTCAAGCCTGTGTGTGTTAATCAGCTTTCCATTACTATAACTAAATACGTGAGATAATCAATCTGTAGGGAGAGAAGGTTTACTTGGCTCACAGTTCTGAAGGTTTCAATCTATGATTTCTTGGTCCTGCTATTTTGGGTCTATGTCAGAAATATGTGGCAGAACAAAACCACTGACTTCATCACCTGGCAGTTAAAGAGGGGGAAAGGAAGGGGCTGGGATCCCACAAATCCACTTCAGAGGCACTTTCTCAATAACCTAAAGACTTCCCACTAGGCCCCACCTCTTAAAATTTTTTCCTAATAACACCATGCTGGGGACCAAACCTTTGACACAAAACCTTTGAGGACATTCCAGATCCAAACTATAGCACTGGGGACATCGGTACTAGTGTGTTTGAAATACTCTTTATGTTGACGCTAATGATAATAAAATAATTATTAACCAATTAACTTACACTTTTGATTCTTTCATGATCATTGCCGTATTTATGATATTGTACCATCATGAGTCTTGCTGAACAGTTATCTTCATGTTTGTCTTTACGCAAGTTAGTTTGGGATCCTACATTGCTTTTATGACTTCCCTGCACCTAAAAGAAAAATATAAGCTGGAGCCCATGCACTTGTTTGTGTCAAGTATGACTACCCCCCATGTAAGTACTTTCATTTTCTTTGGAAAGAGGAGGGGAGGGGAGGGAAATGGGGGCATAAAAATCAGGATGCTATTTTCCTTTTGGGCAAGCTTTGGCGTGGTAAGGCCTGGATGATGGCAGGGAGACTATTTGCTATTGAGAATCCTCAGATCTCTTTCAATGTCATTCTGTCTTCATTTCTCGGAAGTGCCCTTCATCAGTTCCCTGATAATCACATGCGCTGCTCTTGCACCTCTGAGCTCATACTGAGCTTCAGTGTTTTTTCTCCCACTTTGGGAGTTTAGAACTTAATCAATTTTCAGAAAAGTGACCAACTAGAGCCAGGAAAGAATCCTTAAAATTTGAAAAGGGGACAGTGATGTCAAACTTCTGTAACTTTTAGTTTAAACTGTGCTTCCTGCTACTCTACCTCTCCTCTCCTTAAAAAGTCAGTGTCTGGCCTGGGATTCTGAGTTTGGAATGCCATTTTGGTGACATGATGAGACTCGAGTCACTGAGGAACCTTCTTTTCCCTGCTTTCATAGAGAAAGAATTCTCTCCTGAAGTCTTTAGATGAAGAGTTCCATTTGCCAGCCTTGATTTAAGGACTTGACTTTAGATAGAAAGCTTTTGTTTATGAGCAAGCTTGTTTTATACTGCCTTGTCCTGTGTTTGTTGATGTTTCCAGTCAAAGGCCTGGCCTAAAATTCCCAAGCTTAACGAATTGACAGAAGAAGAAATAAACTCTTTGCTTATAGAGTTTGGAGGCACCCCCATGAGTTTTTTTGATGATGAACAACTTTTACAAGAAAGTATTCCCAAACTGTTGGCAGATATTCAGCTTATGAGCAGTCATAGGTAAGTAACTGAGACAATTTTGTGTGTGGATGTTTATAGAACAATACAGACTGGCAGTTCTCAGAGGATGTGGATATGGAAAGGTAATATTCAAAGAGTTGGATTCCATTTCCTTTGGGGCTGTTTGTAATATTTGTACTGGCTTAGAATGGAGACTGAGCACAGACATTGTATTTATAAAGATGACTAGCACATCTTTTCTTTAAAATACATACATAAAAATATATATTATATATGCTGCATATATAAATACATTTATATGTTGACATGCATGTTGTATCATATAATGGGTATTTATTGAATAAATGCCAAAGCATTCTCATCTTCTTAGCAGGATCAGCGGGAATGGATCACTACTCATTATTAAGTGTGGGGTAGTTGTTAAGTGAGCAGTAGTTGGCTAAACTTGCTTTATTGTGAATTTGTTCCAGAACTCCTGTAGCTTCGTGACATCACCCTTTTTCCTTGTCTCATGGGATGTCTGGATTAATGCTTGAATTTTCTGATAGAACTAAAATCCTAAGACTCTGTCAATCTTCCCCTAACAACCTAAGTCTACAAATGACTTTTCTTAGTTTACCATCCCCAGAGCCATCACTGTGGGTCCAGCATTGGACTCTAGACACCCTTATATTCTGTCATGCATTGCTTCTATTTTGCCTGATCCTTGTTCTCTTGGTTTAAGTTCCTTAAAAGCAGAAATTTAGGCCTATAGTACTTGTTTTTCATCCACAAAGCCTGGAACAGGCATTGGGCCACCATGGGCTATGCTTGCTACTGGACGTTTACATAGATAGCTACAAAGAGTGAAACAGATGTGCAGCACCTTTAGGACTGAGATAAGCATTTCCATTTTCACACATCTCCTCCATCACTGCCTATCTTCAATATGCTGTACAGTTCACAGTTAACCTCCTAGATATCCTACGCCTATCTATCTTTACATCTCTATCCCAAGCATCTTAGTCTAAATGTCATTCTCATAAGACTAAGCTGAGCACAGATTCGGGATCAAGAAATGCCAAAGAAAGGAAAAAAAACCCTTAATATTACCAAAAAAGCTACAGTAGCCGGGCACGATGGCACACACCTATAATTCCAGTGGCTTGGGAGGCTGAGGTAGGAGGACTGGGAGTTCAAAGCCAGAAAGAAACTAAGTGAGGCCCTAAGCAACTCAGTGAGACCCTATCTCTAAATTAAATATAAAATAGGGCTGGGGATGTGGCTCAGTGGTTGAGTGCCCCTGAGTTCAATCCCTGGTACCACTGCCCCCTGGGGGGGAAGCTAGAGTAATAAATCTTCATGGCACTAGCATAAAAAAGAACTCTTCAACCAAGGGACAGAATCAGAAGCCCCTGGAAATAAACCTATGCACTTAAGGTTATCAAGAAAAGTGCCAAAATATAGAATAAGGAAATGACACTCTCTTCTTTCCTTAATAAATGGTACATAGCCATATGCAAAAGAAGGAAACTGGACCTTTGCCTTACACTGTATATAAAGATCAACTAAGAAAGATTAAAGATTTAAACACAAAACCTGACAATGAAAACTTCATGGGACAGTCAGGGAAAGCTGCGTGACATTGGCCTGGGCAGTCAATTTTTGGATATGATCCCAAAAGCACAGGAAACAAGCAAAAATTGACAAATGAGATTATATCAAAAAGCTTTTCCATAATAAAGGAAACAATGAACAGAGGAGAAGACCTATGGATTAGGAGAAAGTCTCTGAAAATCATACATCTAATAAGAAGTTAATATCCAAAATGCATGAGGAACTCAAAGAACCAATAGCAAGAAAACCACTTGATGTAAAAATGGGCAAAGAACCTAAATACACATTTCTCAAAAGAAGTTGTGCAAAACAGATATAGGAAAAAGTGCTCAACATCACCAATCATCAGGGAAATGCAAATCAAAACCAAAATGAAATGTCATCTCTGATAACCTGAGGATGGTTATTATCCAAAAGACAAAAGATATTAAGTGCAGGAAAGAATGTGGAGAAAAAGGAACGCTTGTTCACTGCAGACATAATGTGAATTAGTACAGCCATTGTGGAGAACAGGGGTGCCTCAAAAAAAAAAAAAAAAACAAAGAAATAGAATTACCATATTAGTTTATTAGGAGATATCTGCACTCCCGTGTTTATTGTTGCATTATCCATAAGACCCAGACACGGAATCAGTCTAAGCCTACATCAGCAAATAAAGAAAATGTATCTATACACAGTGAAATAATATTTAGCCTTATAAAGAACAAAATCCTGTCACTTGTGACAGTATGGATTAAGTGAAAATAAGTGACATTATATTAAGTGAAAATACACCAGGCAGAGAGAGACAAAAAGTGCACAGTCTCACTAATGTGTGGAAACTAAAATGAGAACCAACAGAAGTAGAGGGTAGAATGGTGGCTACTTGTTGCTGGAGATTTGGGGAGGAATGGGGAGATGCTGGCCAGAGGGTACTATGTTTCAGTTAGAGAGGAGTTTTTGAGACCTATTAGCATGATGACTATGGTTAATGACAATGTAATATACATTTCAAAATCCCTAACACAGTAGGTTTTAAATGCTCACACCATAAAAAAATTATGTCAATTAATGAATGTGCTAATTAGTTTGACTTAATTGATCCATAATGAATGCATATATATAAATATCACCTTGCATGCTGTATATATAATTATTACTTGCCAAATAAAATTAAAATTTTTAAAAATTAAAAATAATCCACATTGCTATGAATATTCAATAAAATAATATATAGAAAAGCTTGTTTTATGATAATTAAACCTGCACAATTGTCAAATATTAAGGCTTAACTTAATGTTTATGCCTTAAAAAAATAAAATACTTGGGAATCAACAAAAGAGGTGAAAGACCTCTAAAATGAAAACTACAGAAAGCTAAAGAAAGTAATTAAAGTAATTAAAGAAGAGCTTAAAATATGGAAAGATCCACCTTGTTCTTGGATAGGCAGAATTATTATTGTCAAAATGACTATACTACCAAAAGCGCTATATAGATTTAATGCAATTCCAATCAAAATCCTAATGACATTCCTCATAGAAATAGAAAAAGCAGTTATAAATTCATCTGGAAAAATAAGAGACCCAGAATAGCTAAAGCAATCCTTAGCAAGAATAGTGAAGCAGGTGGCATCACTTTACCAGACCTTAAACTATACTACAGAGCAATAGTAACTAAAACAGATGGGTAGACCAATGGTACAGAATAGAGGACACAGAGACAAACCCACATAACTACAGTTATCTTTTATTAGACAAAGGCTCCAAAAGCATACATTGGAGAAAAGATAGCCTCTTCAACAAATGGTGCTGGGAAAATTGGATATTAATATGCAACAAAATAAAATTAAACCCTTATTTCTCACCAGGCACAAAACTCAACTCAAAGTGGATCAAGGACCTAGGAATTAAACCAGAGACACTGTACCTATTAGAAGAAAAAATAGGCCCAAATCTCCATCATGTCAGATTAGGCCCCAACTTCCTTGATAAGACTCCTATAGCACAAGAATTAAAATCAAGAATTAATAAATGGGATGAATTCAAAGTAAAAAGCTTCTTTTCAGTAAAAGAAACAATCAGTGAGGGTAATAAAGAGACTACATTTTGGGAACAAATTTTTACCACATGCACATCAGATAGAGCACTTATCTCTAGAATATGTAAAAACCAAATAACCCAGTCAATAAATGGGCCAAGGAACTGAACAGGCACTTCTCAGAAACAAATATAATGAAAAAATGTTCAACATCTCTAGCAGTTAGAGAAATGCAAATAAAAACTACTCTAAGATTTAATCTCACTCCAGTCAAAATGGCAGCTATCAAGAATACAAACAACAATAAGTGTTGGCGAGGATGTGGGGGAAAAGGCACACTCATACATTGCTGGTGGGACTTCAAACTGGCTCAGCTAACATGGAAAGCATTATGGAGAATCCTTGGAAAACTGGGAATGGAACCATTATTTGACCCAGCTATTCAACAGCATACTACAGGGTCACAGCCACATCAATGCTTATAGCAGCACAATTCACAATAGCTAAACTGTGGAAACAACCCAGATGCCCTTCAGTAGATGAATGGATAAAGAAAATGTGATACACACGCGCATGCACACACACACACACACAATGAAATATTATTCAGCATTAAAAGAGAATAAAATCATGAAATTGACAGGTAAATGGATGCAGTTGGAGAATATAATGTTAAGTGAAGTTAGCCAATCTCCCAAAACCAAATGCAAAATGTTTTCTCTGATTTAAGGAAGCTGATTCATAATGGGGTTGAGGGTGGGGAACATGGAGAATTAGATGAACTCTAGATTGGGCAAAGGGGAGGGAGGGGTGGGAGTGGGCATGGAGGTAGGAAAGACAGTGGAATGAGATGGCCATCACTACCCTAAGTACACATATGAAGACACAAATGGTGTGACTCTACTTTATGTACAACCAGATATATGAAAAATTGTGCTCTATATGTGTAATATAGTTTGTAATGCATCCTGCTGTCATATAGAGGAAACTAAAATTTAAAAATATATTAAAAATTATATATATCCACCTGATATCAACATAGTCACCTTAATAGGTATTTCATGCAGTAGTTTAAATTTCAAGGTATGCTTTTTTTTTAGCCTTGTCACAGAGAATGGCTGACCTTCATTTTTTTTTTTCTAGGAGAATATACCTCCATATACTTCTTTGGTATTTTTATATGAATGCCTTGAGTTGTTTTTAGCAAACCTTTATAGTTCCTTCTTAACTCAGTGGTTCTTCTTCTTTACTATATTTAGTTTGGGGGAATTGATATTTAAAAGATAACATCTATTATTTTAAAAAAAGAATTCACTTATTACTACTATCAAAACCCTTTCTGCCTGTGTCTCACCAGCTGTGAGATTCTGAGCATGTTTCTTTAGCACCTTGTCCCATCTGTGCAAGGAAAGGGTAAAAAGAGTAACTCAAGTAACTAACTACAGGTTCTTAGTTTGGATTTGACATTTAACTAACCACAGGCCATTTTTAAAAACAAAACAAGAAAAAACTCACTAGCATTCTATTGTTTTTCACTCCGAATAAACCTCCCAAACACAAAAAATAAAACATAAATCAGACCTAGAAATACTCCACTCCTAGAAGAAAGAAAACATCTTAATATTCTCACCCTCACTCAGGTGTATCAAGTTGCTGTAGCTATCACCACTTTCAGCTTCCTCCAGTTCCAAAAGTTCTCCCCAAACCCTGCTCTTTGGTTCTTCCCTTCCTCTCTTGCTCCTTCCCCTTTCTCAGTCTGTGTGCTTCAGCGGGCCTTGGGCTCTTAGCTCTTTCTAATATAAATAAAATTAGGCCCAGCACATCTCTCAGTCCTTCCCTATCACCTACCATCAAAGCTCAGAGCCTGGGGTCCAGAGTGGAGATGCGTCAGCTAGGCAGTTCCAAAGCTCTGAGGTCTCTTGCCTGGACGACTGTCCTGCTTCCCCTATCCTCTGTGGTCCCGACTCTACAGGCACTATGCTGTTTGATTTTTGTCCCACATATCTCTCTCTCTCTCTCTCTCTCTCTCTCTCTCTCTTTGCACTGGGTATTGAACTCTTTTTTTTGACACAGGGTCTCATCAAATTTCTTGGCACTTCACTTTTGCTGAGGTTGGCTTTGAACTCACAATCCTCCTGGCTCAGTCTCCCGAGCCGCTGGGATTACAGGTGTGTGCCACTGCACCAGGCTGTCCCACAGCTCTGGAATGATGCCTTTGCTAAGCTTTTATTCCCTTTAATATTTCTCTGTGGATAATTTCTACTGGCTGTCTTCAAGTTCACTGACTGTTTCTCTGGCTGTGAGTCTAATAAGAAGCCTCTCACAGGAACTCTTCATATCTGTGGCCAGTTATTTCAAGAAATTCTATTTGACTTCTAAGGTTTTCACGTCTCTAAAAAGATAAAAAGACAATCCTTGTTTGCATATGCACATTGTCTATCTTTCCCACTAAGTCAATTGACATATTATTCCTAGGTATTTTGAAGTCCTGTTTGATAGTTGCAACATCTGGGTCTTATTCATACCTGATTCTTTTGACTGTTTTGTCCCTTGACAGTGAATTGTTTATCTCTTGTTTTCTTGTGTGTCTGAAAATTGTTATTGAAATTTTATGTATAAAGTTTTAAAGCTTTTTATACTTTTTAGAATAAAGTAGTACTACATGCAGAAATGAATCTGTGATGGGAATTTGAACACATTTCTCCTTCTGCCCTTCCTCGGGGGAGTTCCAATCAATGTAGACTGGAAGTGAGCTGAGTTTGGGCTTTGATGTTGCTATGGTTACCTTCCTGCACCACCAGTTCCCTGTTTCTGTGGTGTTAAAGTGGGGATGAAGTTGCTGGAGTGTCTTTCTTTTTCTTCAATGGTCTTGCTTCATCCCCAACCTTCATTCTTCCCTGAGACTGAGGACAGTCTCTCCCCTTCTATGGCTGCCCCCCAGTGTAGACGGCTGTTCTTGTTACTGGATGTGGGCTACCAGAGTTCTTGGGCATCTAGAATGTCTCAAGCATCCCCCTAGGTAGGCCCTCTGTGTCTGGGATTTGTGGGTGGGACTTTCTCAGGCTGGCTCTCCCCTCTCCCTGTTATAGACAAATCTTGCCTCATGTATCTTGGTTGGCCTGGATGGAAAATCCTTGCCTCTTCCCATGAGCAGCAGACCTCTGCTTCATTGGGTTTGTATTTTGTTTTGCAGTGCTGGGATGGCATCCAGGGCCTTTCGCATGCTAGACAAGCACTCTGCCACTTGGTTACCCGCCAAACCACTCTCTGCTTGGATTTGGTATAGAATTGTGTCATACTCCTTCCCGGAGGGTAGAGGGTTGTGTCAGTCCTTCCCCAGCAGCCAGGGGTCTTCGTCTATGCCCTGACATGAGGTGTTTCTGCCTCTCTCCAGCAGTATAAGGCAATTGCTTAGAATGAGGGAAGGGCCCAGGTAGGTGGCAGTGTTAGTTCCTGTCCCACTGCCACCACTTACCTGCTGTCCCCTTTCCCCTCAGAGGGGGCTCCCTTTGGCCTCTAGCTTTGCTCCCAATCTTTCTTGTGGACCACTAGTGGAGGCCCATGGAAAAGAGCCTGTAAGTCGGAGTGAATTCCACTGACCCACCACCCCACACTGGGTCTCTAACTCCTGTCAAAACTCCAGCTGATTTGAGACGCCTCTTTGGCAATTGGCTAGTTCTGAGCCTAGGATACCCCCACTTCTCATTAGAGGGCCTGCATGTGCCCTGCACACAGCTTCCCATGAGTTAATCTGTTGTTCCCCCCATACTCTGAGGGTGGGAGTCACTCTCCTAGTTTTTACATCCTGGACAGGAGAGAAATCCTCACCTGGGCTATTAGAAGAGACTCTTAGTCGGTTCTCTCATGCAACCCTGTCCCCTTCCAGCCCTTTCCCCACACTGTATCCAGGGGGGTGAGTGTCAAGTTTGACCACGACTTAAACCCTTTGTGACTTACCATTCTGAGGATGACCACATTCTTCCATGTGGCCTGCCCCTGGCCCTTGTCTATTCTTCACCTTGATTTCTCCCAATACCCCCCTTCAGCTTCTGAGCAATACATTGAACCCCTTTCCTCCTTCCCTGTAGCCTCTGTCCCCTCAGTTCTTTCGTAGTCATTCAGATCTTAGATGCTGTCCACTTCTTCAGGGAGACCCAACTTGACTCTAGCCTGTCCTCCCTCCTGTCCCATGCTCTCAGATCACCTGGCTTGGGAGTACTTCCTTCTCTCTTCAGTTGTCTGATTATTTCATGCACATCTCTCTCCCTGCCAGTCTCTCAGATGTAGGAGGGCAGGGCCTGAATTTGTTTATTTGCAGGTCCCCAGCACCCAGCATCCAACTCAGTAAATATATCTGTGCTGTGAAACAGAGGTGGTGAAATGGAGGCCGAACCCACTCTTGTTCTGTGCATGAGAACCTTCCCTGGGCAGAATCAGGGAGGTCATGTCTGGGCCACAGCAGCCAACAGCACTGGTTGAAACCAGCCTCACCCTGACCCTGGGCCCCCAGCACCATCCTGCTGCCAGCTGTACATTCTAGAACTTAGATGAGGTTGGAAAATGGCCTGGATCACAGTGAGGCTCAGGCAGGTTCTGATAGGGAGAAGTGTCCCTGGTGAAAAAATGTTTGCACTGTGGGAAGAGCCAAAGGTGAGCCTCCTGTTTCACTTCAGGGAAGCTATTAAGAGGAAGAGGTTCTGGGTGTTGCTTAATCAGCTCTTTTTTTTGTCTACAGCTTTGACAAACTCTCTAAGGCCGTTCTTGCTTGTGACTTAACATGTTTTGTTGGATCTGAAGACGTAGTAAAGGATGTAGAAGGTGAAATTATTTTTTATAGTTTTGGGTATTTTATTGAAATTATGTGTCTGGTGATTTTCAAAAAATGTCAACTAGCAGTTACTGCAGTGAACAAGAATTTCATCCCAGTTTTATTTATTTATTTATTTTTTTAAGAGAGAGAGAGAGAGAGAATTTTTTAATATTTATTTTTTAGTTTTCAGCGGACACAACATCTTTGTTTGTATGTGGTGCTGAGGATCGAACCCGGGCCGCACGCATGCCAGGCGAGCGCGCTACAGCTTGAGCCACATCCCCAGCCCCCAGTTTTATTTAGTATAGATGGAGAGGTACTGATCACATATAAAATGAAAGAACACAGCTGGGCATGATGGTGAATGCCTGTGATCCCAGCAGCTGAGGCAGAAGGATCACAAGTTCAAGGCTAACCTAAGCAACTTAGTGAGGCCCTAAGCAACTTAGTGAGACTCTGTCTCAAAAAACAAAGGTGGGGGGGGGGGCGCTGGGGAATGGCTCAGTGGTAAAGTGCCTCTGGGTTTAATCCCCAGTAGAGGGGTGGGTGGGAATACTAGTAAAAACATTGATAGGTCTTAGAGAAAATAAAATACAGGATGCATAGAACCTGACACCTTGGAAATAACTACCATTGGGTATCATCAGCTCTTAGATAAATACTATCTGGAAATAAGTATTTTGTTTTAGATGGCAAATGTCATTTGTTATTAAATACAATTTTGTTTACTTTTAGCCTGGAAAGATATGACCAACGGAACTGTTGATATTCACGTGCTGCCAGGAAATCACTTTTATCTTCTGGAACCTGACAATGAAAACTTCATCAAGAATTACATAACCAAGTGTCTAGAACTGTCAATGCTTGCTGACTTTTAGTTATTTTTTTCCTTTATAATTTTTAGTTATGCAGATGTAGCTCAGTAGTTTTATTCAGAGATTGGAAATCACATATTTTCTACTGTTAGGATAATTTATTATATATGAATGCATTTTTCCCTCGAGCAATTATGTATGTGGGGACAAAAGGCAAAGATGTAAAACACACTTCTGGCAGATTACCTTTTTATTAGAATTTCATTCAATTTGCATCCGTGGAAATTTTGCCAACAAAATTAATGCTTGGTAAATTATCATTTTCCCCTTCAATTATTTATCATTTTTTTTTCTAGTGCTGGGGATCAAAACCAGGGCCTTGCACATACTAGGCAAGCTTTCTGCCACTAAATTATAGCCTTTAGCCTTCTCCGATTATTTTTAAATGATTAGCATATGCTTGATGTATCTTTTGAAATACGGAGCAGTCCTATTTAATAAGAAAATGTAACCTATTGCTTTATGATGCGAAGGCAGCCATATATAATTATTACCTGTATCAACAAATCCTCAGAATGCCTTCGAGCTCAGCCTTCTTTGTAATCAGCTCCTTCTACATGAATTACTGGGTGGCTGTCTGTGGTCCTGCTAATGACTGATGGACTCAGGGTGGGCCTTTCAAGGACAAACAACCTAAAGTCTACTCATGGATGTTGGTAGTGGCCAAGCATGAAGGTTAAGCCAAAGAGGCTGCCTTGGCCTCACTGTGACTTGAACTTGGCATGGAAACAAAATGGAATAGTTGGAAACAAACAAGAATCCAAGAGAAAAAGAGAAGCAGAAATAGAGTAAATGATCTGCGTCAAAACAATGGCAGAAACTACAAGTGGGATCCATAGACGCTTCCTGAAGGGTGTGAAGCATGGCGGTATCCTGGGGCTGCCTGGGCCATCTCTTCAAGGCCTGACTAGTGCAGTCAGGCCCCTCCCCACTGCCCATTTCCTTCTTTCCATTACACCTTTACAGTAAATTCTACTAACTTAATGGGACTGATGTCTCTTCCTTAGAGCTCACACTGCTTAACATAATATGAATTATTAAAATGTTAACTTTTAAAGCATCTGCATATTTATGGTTACATAATATGACCATTCATTTCATTAAAATAATATGGGCAGTAGAGTCTTAGAAAATAAGATTAAGGAAAATGCATATAGGAGACATTTTCCCAAAACTTATCATAACATTTTAAACCAAGTACAAATTATACAAAAATTACTGGGGCTAGGGGCTTTGACTTAGAATTTACATAATAAATTTTGGGCTAGAAACAGCCTCAAACAATTTATGTTAAATGTTTAGTATGTGTTCTACTGTACATTTTAGTTTGATGAAATTTCCAGAGCTTCCTTAGTAAAGAATTGGTAAAAAAAAATTCGTTCAGATTTGTGATTTTTTAAATATAAAACCCAATTTTTTAATTTTTATTTTTAAATTTGTTTTAATTAGTTACACATGACAGTACAATGATCTTGACATATCATACATTTGAATCAGATGGGTTATAATTTCTCATTTTTCTGAGTGTACATGTTGCAGAATCACATTGGCCATGCAGTCACATATATACACACAGTAATAATAATGTCTGTTTTACTCTGCTGTCTTTCCATCCCCCCTCCCCCTCCCCTCCCCTCCCATCAATTCTCTCTACTCAATCTAATGTGACCCACTTCTTTTTTTTTTCCCTCACATCATCATACCTGCATTCTGTATAATGAAGGGGGTCTCCTTCCCTCTTCCATGAGATTCCCATTCTCCCTCTGAAAGGTTAATAATCTTGAGAACTGTTTGCTAATCTTGTTCCCAGAATGTGCTGTCCCCAACTGCTAAACTGCAGAATGTATTCCCTTACCCGGTTGCACGCAAACCGCCCACTCGCCCTGACCCATCAATGAACTTCCCTCCCTGCCCTCTCCAAGGAAAGTATATAAGCTCTGCTTAAACTGTTCTCTAGGCTCTTTGCTCTATTCAAGTGAGCTCTGAGCCCCAGCATGCTGGACCCCCAATAAACCCCTTGCTGTTGCATGAGACAGTCTCTTGGTGGTCTCTTCCTCCGACACTCGCCAGACCTTTACATATGGAGGTTCCACCGAGATCCGGCAGTGGCGGATGAAAGACCCACAACGGGCTCCTCTCGGGGTAAGTAAGGCGCCTCTTTCTGGTTTCTGGTTTCAGGTTAGGGCTTGGCAAAATGGCTGTTGGTGAAGAGCGTGAGCTCTCTCCGACGGTGGCTGACAGACGTGTCACAGAGCCACAGGGCACATCCCTGGGGGACGCCACAGAGGACTCTGGAAATCAAGGAACAATAGTCTCCTCGACTCGGTGATATTTTATTTCGGATTCGGTATTGCCAGCCCATCGGGTTTTGCCAGCTACTCAGTCCTGATATCAGTGTTGGACGTCCATTGCCTGTCTTTATTTTTTTGTCTTGTCTGTGTCGTGTGTCATTGCTTTCACTGTTTGTGTATCTTTCATTATGGGACAGAGCACTTTAATGCCTCTGTCCCTGACTCTTGATCACTGGACCAAAGTCCACTTAAGGGCTCAAAATCTTTCTTTTTCAGTAAAACGCCGGACCTGGCAGACTCTCTGTGCCTCAGAATGGCCCACCTTTGGAGTCGGATGGCCCCCAAAAGGATCTTTCTACTTCCCACTAATTCTAAAAGTCAGAAATATTGTCTTTGTCTTTCAGCCAGGGCCACATAGACATCCAGATCAACAGCCGTATATCATAACTTGGCAGGACCTCTGCGAATCTCCTCCTCCATGGGTGAAGCCTTTCCTTGTCCCTGCCCCCGCTCCTACTCCTTCCCCCATGATTCTGTCTCTCAAACCCTCTGCTCCTCCTCCTCCTCCACCCTCTGTTCTCCCTGAGTCTCAAAATTTGACTCTACTGGACTCTTCTCCCCCTCCTTAGCCCCTGCCCTCGTCCCCCAACCCCCAACACCCTCTAAATGATTCTCCTGCTGCTGACTCAGCCTCTCCACCATTGGAGGAAACTAAGCCTTCCCAGTGCCCTCCAGATGACCCTCCCACGGCACACACAGCCCCTCCTCCCCTGAAGGAAACTGGCCCGGCTAAAAGAACTCAAAGAACTCGCTGGTGTTTTCACACCAGCCTACTTGGGATGACTGCCAACAACTCCTAGGGACTCTCTTCATGACAGAGGAACAAAAGAGAATCCTCCTGGAAGCTAGGAAAAAAATATCCTCAGACCAGATGGGCAACCGACACAACTTCCCAACATAATTAAAGCCGGCTTCCCCTTGAACCGACCCAACTGGGACCCCAACACCTTTGAAGGTAAGGAGCATCTGTCCACTTATCGCTGGGCTCTAATAGCGGGTCTCCGAACGGCTGCTAAGCGACCAACTAATTTGGCCAAGGTAAGAGAGATTATTCAAGGGCCTGATGAATCTCCCTCTATGTTTCTAGAGAGAATTATGGAGGCATATAGGAGATATACTCCTTTTGATCCTCAGGCAGAGGATCAAAAGGCATCTGTCATGATGGCCTTTATTGGGCAAGCTGCCCTGGATATTAAAAGAAAGTTACACCACTTAGATGGATTACAAGATATGACTTTGAGAGATTTAGTCAGAGAAGCCGAGAAGGTATACTATAAGAGAGAAACTGAGGAAAAGAAAGGGAGCAAAGGGAGGATGGGAGAAGCAAAAGACAGACTAAAACATTGACTAAGGTCCTGGTCACAATAACAAATAGGCCAGAAATTAAGAAACAGGGAGACAAGAAGAAATACCTGGGCCCACGCCAAAGGCCACCCCTGGCCTCAGATCAATGTGCCTACTGTAAAGAAAAAGGACACTGAGCCAAAGAGTGCAGCCAAAGAGACAGCCACACCAGCCAGCCATTCTGACTCTGGAGGATGACTAAGAAAATCGAGGCTCGGATCCCCTCCCCGAGCTCAGGGTAACTTTTGAAGTGGAGGGAACCCCAGTAAACTTTGAAGTGGATACAGGGGCAATATACTCAGCTCTTAAGGCCCCATTGGGCCCTCTATCAAATAAAAGGTCTCTAATTCAAGGGGCTAACAGCAGTAAATATCGAGCTTGGACAACTAAGAGGACCATGGACCTGGGGAAAAGAAAAGTCCATCACTCCTTCCTAGTGATCCCAGAATGCCTGGCCCCATTGATAGGCAGAAATCTGCTCACCAAGCTCTGAGCCAAAATAACTTTTAACCCTGAAGGCCCCCAAATGAAATTTCTAAATCCTTCAGTAAAAACTCCTATAGTCATGGCTTTAACTATGTCGGTAGAAGATGAACATCAACTCTTCACACACCCCAAGACTGATCAAACAGGCAAGCTACCCCAGAAATGGATAACAGATTACCCAGATGCCTGGGCAAAAACTGCTGGGTTAAGCCTAGCCGTAAAACAACCTCCAATAACAGTGGAGTTAAAAACCTCAGCCTCCCCAATCAATGCCAAACAATATCCTCTGAACAAAAAAAAACTAAAGATGGGATAAGGCCCCATATTCAGAAATATCTGGCCTTAAGGGTCCCAAGGCCCTGTCAATCGGCCTGGAACACTCCCCTGCTACCAGTAAAAAAGCCAGGAACTGAGGACTATCGCCCCATTCAAGACCTAAGAGAGATCAACAACAGAGTGCAGGACATTCACCCCACGGTACCTAATCCGTACAATCTGCTTAACACTCTAAACCCTGAACGAAAATGGTATACTGTTCTGGACTTAAAAGATGCTTTCTTTTGCTTGCCTCTGCATAAAGATAGTCAGTTGCTGTTTGCTTTCGAGTGGGTAAACCCAGAAACCAGAACGTCTGATCAACTAACTTGGACCAGACTCCCACAGGGGTTCAAAAACTCCCCCACTCTCTTTGATGAAGCCCTCCACAGAGATCTCAACAACTTCAGAACTACGCACCCCAAAGTCACCCTGCTTCAATATGTGGATGACCTGCTACTGGCAGCCGACACCAAGGAAAACTGTGAGTCTGGGACCCAAGCACTA